CAAGGCCTTTGGATTTCACCTTTGCCATATCTCTTGAATGTGCTCCCTTGTCTCCTCTGATACTGCCACCACCCTGTGCAGCCCTCATCTCCATTTGCTTATCCTATTGCAAAAGCTTGGTCATTAGTTGACCTGCCATAAATCTTTCCTGACTCTAGTCCATCTGCCATTCAACTTGTCAGACGCTGAAAATAAAGGCCCAAAGAGCCACAGACGTTATATACTATTAGCAGTTAACTCTGAAAAAAAAAAGAAAACTCACAGAAGTAATCACGATAACTGTTAACTCTGAAAAGTAAAATAAAAATAAAACCAAAATGCTAACAGTGGTTATAAGCAAAAAACTTTATTCTGTTGGAGGAGGGAAATTAAACACTCATGCTGGACCTCCTCTAGGAGGAGACCCAACTTAGCAAGGCCAAGGCTTGATCCATATAGCAGTGGCTTCCCAATGGGCTGAAGCTGTGACAACGAGGGCTAAAAGCAACAGTGAGACCCGTTGGATTCATATGAAGCTTCATGACTGGAATGTGGTTCATGTAGGTGCTTGTCTGAGCTCAGAGACCACCTGATGCTGGTGTAAAACAATTCTGGGATTTAGCTGCAGCAGAGTTCATCCAGAGGGTGAGCTAAGTGCAAAGGATTGTTGTTATGCCAAGCTCAGGGCTCAGCTTGCTTGCTGGGCCTTAGCTCTGGAAAATAGGATGTCTCCTAATAGTAAAAAGAGAGGAGTGATAAGAGATGAGCGGTCTTGGCATGGGGATCCTAAGAAGCTGCCTCAGTGAATTACCTAAAATGCAGGTCTGACCTTTTCACCTCTCCTACTGAAGAAACTTTAATGGCTCCCTATCATCTTCAGGATCAAATAAAAAAAAAAGTGTTCAAAGCTGTTCATAAAACTACTCCCCATTCCAGTCTTCTTATACCTGACAAACCCCCTTCCATGTACTCTTTTGAGGCAGACAGAGGTTAAGTGACTTGCCCAGGGTCACAGAGCAAGTCTAAGTAAGGAAGTATCTGAGGTTGGATTTGAACTCAGGTCTTCCTGACTCTAGACCCAGCATTCTATCCACTGCATCACTATGGTTTATTTTGCTTTTGTTTTGTTTTAAGAATCAACAGAACTAAATTTGGCAAAAACGTTATTTTTATTATCGTCACTTATTATTTTGGAAAGCAGACTGCCATGGAGTTAGATAGAAAGGTTTCAGAGCTAGGAAGATGGTCAGATGGCTACAGAGAAGATGCTGCTCTGGGTTAGTAGGAGTCTCCTGATCTGGGAATTCCTTATATCATTTAAGCCACACGTCCAGTTCCCTATCCTCATCTGCCAGGCTCTTTACTAGGCTCTGGGGTTGCAAAGACAAAAATGGATCAGGTCCTACCCTCAAGGAGCTTACATTCTATTGGGTGGGGGAGGAGGATATGACATATGCATATAAGCAAATACAAAGTAACTTTAACAAGAGGGTCTTAACAACTGCAGGGCTCCAGAAAGACCTTGGGAAGGAGGAGTTGAGGACTGCGATGGGAGTGGGGCAGAGCTTCAACCCCCACTAAGAAAAGAAACCAGTCTGATTAGATTTACTGCTGAAATGAAGACCTTATTTTAGCTCTCATTAGAGCATATCAGGTATTCTTGTGAAAATAGCTGTCCTTTCAATTTATGACTTGGAGGAAGCCTGTTCAGAACAAATTTTCCCCTGTTGAAGTCATTGGGGAGGTGGCTGTTGTGGATTTTAAAAATAGGTTATCTTAAAATTAAGTTCTAGATGGAGTTCTTCAGCTTGGGTTAAAGGTATGTAGGCAGCAAGGACGGCTCATCGGGAGGGGGAGACACACGAGCTGGACTTTACTCTTGCCTGTACTACCCATGACCTAGATGACCTTGGACAGGTCTCTCCATGGGCTTCCATTTCGAGATCTGTAAAACGGGAGGACTGGACTATAATCCTGTAGGATTCTTCTAGCAGGAAATCCTATGATCCTTAAGACTTTTGTGGCCCTTATGTGGAAAAGGCATCGGACTTGCAAACATGGCATGTGTCCCATGCACCTCAGTTTCTTCATCTGTAAAAGGAGGAAATTGGACTAGATTCTTGCAGGATTCTTCCAATCAGTCAGTCAACAAACACTAAGTGTCAGGAACTGTGCTAAGAGTGGAGGATGCTAGGGAGGGGGCTCCCAGGGAGCTCACAGTCTGACGGAGATTGGGCTCAAAGGAGATAATATATGTAAAGCATTTTGAGCTTCTTAAAGTGCTATGAAAATGTTAGCTATTATTGCTCTTATTAATAAATAACACTCATTTTTCTGTCAGGAAGTGTGTGATCTCATGACTCTTAACCTCTCTAGGCCTCAGTTTTCTCAAGTGTAAAACTTGGACTAGAGGATACGCAAGGTCCTTTCCGGGTCTCAATCCTATGTTTATTTCCAGTTGTGCTGCCTTTGGTTACATACAAGTTTGTTCAAAGGAAATAGGGATATTGTTGCCCTTAGGAAAGTCACGTGTCAGGGCCCGCTGCCGAGTGTCTCAAGGGAAAAGTGGGCACTTCTCTGATGGCCAGCCCTAGAGGGCTTATTACCCAGTCCTATCCCATCTCTTCGTGATCCATTTGGGGTTTTCTTGGCAAAGATACTAGATGCTAGAGTGGTTTGCCATGTCGCACTCCAGCTCATTTTACAGATGAGGAAACTGAGGCAAACGGTTACGTGACTTGCCCAGGGGCACACAGCTACTAAGTGTCTGAGGCAAAATCTGAACTCAGAGCTTCCTGACTGCAGGCCTGGTGATCTATGTACCATGGCGCCCTCGGGCGTAGTCCCTGAGGATGGTCCTTAGTACCTTTCATCGTCAATCCAATGATTTAGGCCGGCAGGCGGTGAATAAATGTTTTAAAAGACACTGTTACCACCCGAGCTGTGAGGCAGGTTTCTGTATTTGCAATTAGGGAGGAGGAAAAGGTGCCTCCAAATTCACCAACCTTGGGTTCCCAGTTAACTCAAAGAGCGGTTGGAAAGTTGGGGTGGTGAGAAGGGCAAGGCAGGATTTGAGCAAAAGAAATCGTTTTCCTTTCAGAAGCCTGAATCCTTCAGTGAAAAGCTCTCCCCCCCC